AATCTTAAAACATTTTAAAGAAAAAAAACACAATATACATACATACATACAAACATTCATATAATATATATATATATAATTAAAATTGATAAATTATATAAGATAAATTTGGAGAGATATCTGAGTCGACGTCAAAACCCTTTTTGTAGGCGAAGCATGTGGACCGGTAAGAGACCTCATCAATCATAGCCACATAACTAAATCAAACTCTCTCTCTAAAATATCTGTATTTGTTCTTTTATCTTCTTGATCTTCCTATATATGGAGAAGCACTAAGAGGGTACTACGATACTGTACGGATCCATCAAACTGTTTTGCATATCCACAAGTACCTTTTATCAAGTTACCTATCCTTTTTTCTTCCTAGGGTTTCGGAGAATCCGATCAAGAACAAAGTAAATCATAGTGTATAATACTAATCAATATCACATAGACTTAGATGTTCCGGTTTCCGGTGAGTCTAGGCGGTTCACGTGACGAAGCCCGTCACGATCAGATCACACCGTTGGATGAGCATCGTGTGGTGGTTGGTGAGGTTGACTTCTTCTCGGAGAAGAGAGACAGGGTTTCACGTGAGAACATCAACGACGACGAGGACGACGAAGCCAATAAGATGCACGTCAAAATGGAGAATTCACGAGTTGAAGATAACGATCGTTCTAGAGATGTAAATGTAAGTATAATCGATATTTCTCTTTAATCTTGGTTATGATCTATATTTTAGTATTAAACATTGATTAAATTCCTTTTATTTTTGATTCTTGGGTTGGTGAGATGTGAATGCTCATAACACTAGTAACAATTACTTTTCATAGAGTTTGTTATTAACTGAATCTAATTTGTAAATTAATATATTGTAAATATATATAGATCGGGCTGAACCTTCTGACGGCGATTACGGGAAGCGATGAATCAACGGTGGATGATGGACTGTCAATGGATATGGAGGATAAACGTGCAAAGTTTGAGGTACTTATTGATAACAAGATCATATAATTTGTTAATTTAATTTTCCTTTTAATTTATAACTAGTTTTAATCCACGAACAAAAATAATCCCATCCTATTATTACATATATTCTTCAGCATCTAACTCCACGATTTCGAAGTACATTTTTCGATGAATTATTAGTAAAACATTTTTGGAAAATATTGTTCGTTTTAATAAGTATATGTATTTTGTTGTTATAAAATGAAATGAAGAACGCACAGCTACAAGAGGAGCTGAAGAAGATGAAAATAGAGAACCAAAGGCTAAGGGAAATGTTGAGCCAAGCGACAAACAACTTCAATTCCTTACAAATGCAACTTGTTACCGTCATGAGGCAACAAGAACAACGTAACTCTTCCCAAGATCATCTATTGGTAATTTTACATTTCCGTTTTAGGATTTTATACAGTTTTATTTGATCGATCTCAATCTGTTTTCTCTAATATATATTTGGTCAATTTGTTTATTTATCGGTCAAATCGCGTCAGTGACAACTAACAAGACTATATATCTGGACACACCCAAATGTTTGTATAGTTGATCAATGGATTTCTTTCAATCAAAAATATGATTAATGGTTTTTAGATGTAAAATTTTATCCACACCAACTCTTTACATTTGGTCGTTATGACGGCTGTAAAATTAGAGAATAATTAATCGTAAATAATGTCGGCACATGAGACCCCTAAATACTAAAAACGATTTTCTACAATTGTTATTTTTTATAATTGTAACACAAGCCCAAAAAAAATCATGGTCTAAGTGTTTCTTTTTTTTTTTTGATAAATTTAACGTGGTTGAAGTATTTCATGATCTATTATTCTATTTGAAAGTATCATTCCTCAGATAATTTACAGGCATAAGTAATGCATAAAAAAATTAATATGGACAAATATAGCAAGCTTAGAGTTTTACGATTTCTCTAACTTATAGGCTACGGAGGGCAACGCAGTAGGAAAGAAGCGGCAGGAAGTGCAAGCCATGGTGCCAAGGCAGTTCATGGACCTCGGGCCGTCTTCTGGCGCGGCCGAGCATGATGCCGAAGTGTCATCAGAAGAGAGGACGATGGTGCGTTCAGGATCTCCTCCTTCGCTTCTAGAGAGTTCCAATCCCCGAGAGAGCGGAAAGAGGTTGCTTGGGAGAGAAGAAAGCCCGGAATCCCAGTCTGACGCTTGGGGAAACCCTAACAAAGTCCCCAAACACAATCCACCCAACAACAGCAACAACAACGGGAATGGAAAAGGTATCGATCAGTCTGCTGCAGAAGCCACCATGCGAAAAGCTCGTGTCTCAGTTCGCGCCCGATCTGAAGCTACTATGGTAACCCTAAGTCTCTCTAATATAGTAGCTAGGTGTAAGGTTATTAAAACAAAAGCTTAGTAGATAATGTATTAATGTTGCTCTATAGATAACCGATGGATGTCAATGGAGAAAGTACGGACAGAAAATGGCTAAAGGAAACCCGTGTCCGCGAGCTTATTATCGCTGCACGATGGCCGGTGGATGTCCTGTTCGCAAGCAAGTACGTTTGCTCTTATATTACAAGTCGGGCAATAAACATATAAGAACATAACATGTAATATATAATTTGGGTTTAAAACTAAGGAAGCCTTAACCAATGATGTCTCAACAGGTGCAACGTTGCGCAGAAGATAGATCTATTCTTATAACCACCTACGAAGGAAACCACAACCATCCACTCCCACCAGCCGCAGTGGCCATGGCCTCAACGACCACTGCAGCCGCAAGCATGCTCCTCTCAGGCTCAATGTCGAGCCAAGACGGTCTAATGAACCCAACAAACCTCCTAGCTCGAGCCATCTTGCCTTGCTCCTCAAGCATGGCCACAATCTCTGCCTCCGCGCCATTCCCAACCATCACATTAGACCTCACCAATTCACCCAACGGTAACAATCCGAACATGAGCACTAATAACCCCTTATTGCAGTTCGCTCAACGGCCCGGTTTCAACCCGGCGGTTTTGCCTCAAGTGGTCGGTCAAGCTTTGTACTATAACCAACAACAATCCAAGTTTTCCGGTTTACAGTTACCGGCTCAGCCGATGCAGATTGCGACCACTTCTTCAATGGCCGAGAGCGTCAGTGCCGCCAGTGCAGCGATTGCGTCCGATCCAAACTTTGCGGCGGCTCTAGCGGCTGCTATTACGTCCATTATCAACGGTTCTAGTCATCAGAATAACAACAACAATAATAACAATGTGGCTACGAGCAACGGTGACAATAGACAATAAGAGTTCTTATTTTGATGGTCGATTTTTAATCTTTTGGTACTTTGTTAATTTGAGTTTTGGCTGTGTAATTATTCGTATTTTTTTTTGGTACTTGTTTCGTTCGTGAACAAGAAAGGTCTTTGAGAACATGTTTTTTTTTTTCTCTGTTCTTCATGTAAGATCAACGATTTTGTTCGGAACTTAGGTTGCTTTTAAAAATATTTTTTCTTAAATATAAGCTAGCTTACATATTGCTTAAAAAAAAATATTTAGTATAATTTTGTTATTTCTCTTTAAATGACTCAATTTCTTTTAAACATTGTTATAGTGAGGAATTTAGCATAAACTAATCCTAAAGGTAGAAGGAACAAAAATGAATGCAATACGCATATCAATATAGAATCGCTAACTTACACAACAACTATATTGACCGATATGGACCGGTTCACCGAAGACATAGTTACCTATAAGAGCGGTAAACCAGGAACTAGTGAAAAAAAGAAGAAGTTTCACTCTTTGGCTAAACTGTAATACATGGATAAATTTCGTAAGCTATTTGAAATGTGCTAATATTTTTTTTTACAAAAATAGACATGCGTCTATTGTTTCCAGTTTCCACTTTCCAGATATTACAGATTGTCAAATGCTGATATATTAAATACATATATAAGAATGCTTTTGTAAAATATCAATAAAACTAAGTTTATACATCAAATTATATTTCTTTTTATTATCATCATATTATTAATTAGCAAGCAAGTTTGGATGTGGTTGAGAGTTATATTGGTTAATTACATTTTGCCTCTTATGTGAATTTACTTTAATTATTCTTAATAAAATTAACAAATTAATATAATCTTTATTTTAATTGCTTTTTGTTTTTTTTTAAAACCTAGATTTCTAAATTCAAGTTTAAATCATAAAAATATTCAGTTTACTAAAAAAGGTAACTAGCATAAATAAATAAAAAATCCTAATTATTTTATTAAACTAATTTAAATTTGATTATTTATCCTACTAATATTTTGACTAACCTAATTAATTTATGCGACCACAAGTAAAAACTTAAATCATTTAAATTCTTTTAAAACTCTATATATTTATTAATGTTAAGTTGATAGGAAACTAGGATCCTTTGGTTTTGGTCATTTTGGATTGTTATGTTTTTTTTTATGCAAGTTTTGAATTTTATTAATCTTAATCTACCAATTTACATCAAAAGAAAAGAATTATTTATCATGTTTGATAAATGCAACAAAACAACAAAGGATACAAATAAGTTTTTATCAGATAATATAAAAAATATTAAAAAATAAGATATAAATAATATATTTTGCTTTGTCACAAAAAACAATATACTCATAAAAATTTTATTTTTCAAATATATTAAGTTTAATTTCGAATCTATTATAAAATCTGATTTTTTATCTAAAAATAAATTAATATTATACTTTTTTAAAAATTTAATCGAACATCGTACCTTATGCGGGAAAACACCTAGTGAAATAATAAATATAAATCATTCTATACATGTCTCTTACGAACTTTAATTTTCAAATATAAAAAGAAAAGAAAAAGAATTGGTTAATTTGTCTTTTTTCTTAGGTTTGGGCTTCAAGCCTTAACGTTCTAAATATAGGTCGAGTCTTTAGGTAGTAAGAGAAAGTTTCTCTTTATAAATGTTCTTTGAGCGGATGAAAATGAAAAGAAAAAAAGCTATATTTTTCTCTCATGCTTCAAGGACTCGCATGGTTCTAAACGTGGCCTAATACTCAATCAAATGGCCTCTCCCTGCCTCCCTCTCGGCGAGCCTCCTTCACCGAAATCCCATGGAGCTGTATCCTTTACTCGATCAGGACCAAAAAGAAATCTCCATTATGGCTGGTCCAAGCTTCCTCTAGATCTCATGCGATTGGTCTTTGAACACCTTGGCTTTGCAGATTTCGAACGAGCTAAATCCGTTTGTTCATCTTGGCAATCCGCTTCGAGACAATCTAAGCCAAACAATCGAATCCCTTGGATGTTTCTGTTCCCCAAAGACAACAACTACGGTCTCTTGTTCAATCCCGAAGAAAAAGACAAGGTTTACAAAACTCAAGATCTCGGCAACGACTTTGCAAAGAGTTATTGTGTGGCGACTTGTAGAAGCTGGATTTTGATGCTTGATCCCCAATATATAGATTTTACTCAAGGGAACATTGAAAACCCTCTATATAATCTTTATATTTTAGATCTTTTAACGTGCGAGAGGGTCAATCTACCAACACTGGAATCGTGTTTTGAGCTCATCGCTCCAGTATTTTGGATAGACGAGAAAACCAAAGATTACTTGGTTATAGGGATGATTAATTATGAATCTGTTGTTTCTTTCAAAAAAGGAGATACCTCGTGGAAACAAATCCCCCAGTTATCATTGTCAGGTATCGAGGAGTGTTTTAATATGGTATATAAAGATCACAAGCTTTATTGTCTAAACTATTTTGAACTCAAGATTTTTGATTTCTCTGGAGAAATTCCTTTGCAAGTTTTCAAAATTAGAGTACATGGGTGCGTACAAATGTTACCGATGTTTCCTGGAAGAAGCTCTCCAAATATCCCTTGGACCCGTATGAAGCATAATGTGGAGATATCTTAATTGTTCAAAGCATGCGTCCGAGTGGATCCAAAATATGGAAATTTAAAATCTACAAGATGGATTCATCTAAGGGAAACAAGTGGGAGAAAATGATTTCTTTGGGAGACGAGGCGATTCTTTTAGATTTGAGTATCACAGTGCTCGCCAAGGACATTGAAGGAATCAAGTGGAGATATCTTAATTGTTCAAAGCATGCGTCCGAGTGGATCCAAAATATGGAAATTTAAAATCTACAAGATGGATTCATCTAAGGGAAACAAGTGGGAGAAAATGATTTCTTTGGGAGACGAGGCGATTCTTTTAGATTTGAGTATCACAGTGCTCGCCAAGGACATTGAAGGAATCAAGAGCAATTCGATCTACTTCAATGGTCGTGATTTTGAAGATCAATATGACGAAAATAATATCTTCATATTCAATCTTGATACAGAGAAGGTTGAACGACCGCACCAATTTGTTTGTTCGTCCATTCCATGCTCTAATGCACGATGGTTCGTACCTAGTTTTAAACGAGAATGATTGATTCTGTCTTCATTATATGCGTTTTATATATTTAAAACATTCTGTTTATATTTTTCCTCTTATAATTTCATTTGGTAACACTTTTTAGTTTTCAGGTATGTATATGATTTTGAGCATGTAAAACTTTTGAAATTTGATAGATTATTCGGACAAAACAAGGTTTCATCAGAGAAAAAAAAACCAATTTTTATAGCTAGAATTTTTAATAAAATATAATTGTGATAGAGAAAAAAGAAAGCTTCATCAATGTTGGTTGGATCCTGCAATTTTGTTATATGTAAAAAAGACTGGTCGATCTTATATTAGTCGATATTAGATTACTTTATTCGATCGCTAAAAATATGAATTTTGGTTTTTTGGTGGCTCAGTCAATTGAAAAACACAATCTCGTGAATACAATTAATAGACTGACTACTGAATATAAACATTTCAACTCGAGCAAATGTCAATCATTGTTTTATGAACTACTGTATATAACAAAACTGTTTGTGATTATGATTAAAATATTTTGAAACATTTTAACTCGAGCAAATGTCAATCATTGTTTTATGAACTATTGTATATAACAAAACTGTTTATGATTATGATAAGTGAGAGCCTATGATAAGTGAGAGCCTTCCTTTCGCTTTCTCTTTCTCTTTCTCTTTTCCTTCTTTTGGATGTAAGACCACCTCCAATGAAGATTCTGAATTATAGTATATAAACCTTAAAAATAATAAAAATAATAAAAAAGAAAGAAAGAAATAAAAAGAAAACAAGAACCAGTGTTAAAAGCTTCTAGTTCAGAGTCGATCTCTAAACTTTTAAGGACATGTACTTTTTTATTAGTAATTTATTTCTTTTTATTATTAAAATTAATTATTTTATTAAATTATAATAATATAATATTTTTAATGAACCTCTAAATAAATCTCTACCGTTGGCCATGCTCTAAGAGTGGTGAAAACAAGAGGCGGCAAGAAAGTCTTACACTTATACCGAGACTCTCAGAGTCTCACACTTATCGATTCCCATGGAAATGCCGCAGAATTTATTTTATCTCTTTGTTCAATTCAAAGTTAATCTTTGAGCTAATCTTATTGAGTCTCTCTCTCTCTATCGTTCATAGTATTCGTTAAACACATAACCAAATTTTCTTTAATTATTAATTACTCCTTCTGTTTTTTAATGTATAATGTTTTAGATATTGTACACACAAAATATTATAACTGTTTTCTCTACTTTTTCATTATTATTTTTTTCAGTTTTTACTCCTATATTAATTATTCTCTCTATTTTAAAATAAGTGTCACTTTGACACTTTTTATACAAATTAAAGAAATTATTAAAAATTATGTTTTACTTTTTCACACACAAAATAATATTCTCTTTCTAATTAAAATAATAAAAAACAAAAGTTAAAACTAGATATTTATTTAAAATAATGCATTGAAAATATAAAGTGACATATTTTATAAAACAAAAATAAAATTTTAAAATGATATTTATTTTGAAACAGAAAGAATATTATTTTTTCTCTTTCTAAGTTTTACATTCATTTTAACTTATTTTACCCAAAATATTATCATTAATTATTCTTAAAAAACTAAAAAAACATTAATTAAAAAGTAAAACGTCAATCTTTAACAAACAAAAAAAAAATTAACATCATCTTTCAAAAAACAAAGAGAGTATATATATTTTTGGGGATTTTCTATTTTAAATATTAAGTGTACTTTAGGATTGACATTAATTTGAAGAACAGTTCTCCAAAGTTTAGAACCAAATGTCATTTTATAATCTTTTTTCAATTTTATAACATCAATCAGATAAAATGAGTAACTAAACGGATTTGGCGTACCCGACTTTCACACTAGATGGATTCTTGTAGTCAGAAACAGTGTGAAAGACCCGCATGAATGGCTGCTTCAGTGTCCTACAATCAAACAACAAGCAGTCAAAATAAGATTTATGTTTTCTAAAAAAACAAACAGATGTACATATTAAAAAATGAAAAACTTATTAATAATTTTTGGTACTGCCCACGAACACAGTCTCGCATCCCTCGCGCATATACTAAAAACAACAAAGAAAATAAGTAACAAAGAAAATAAAAAATTAAATGGAAGAAAGTTGTCCGTAATACGGTAGTACTACTACCCGTGTCAATGAAGACGTTGAAAGGTTGGCCCGGAGTTCCGACTGTGATCTGGCAAGAGTAGCTATTGTCGAAGTTGTTTATAATTATAACAAATATAGATTTAAATTTTGCTCATAATTTTCATTTGTTTTGCTTATATTTTACATATTTTTTGCTTATCCTTTGAATAATGTAGTCAACTTCTTAATTCAAAAAATTTCATTAAATATAACATGAAACAACACCAAATGATGCGAAAACGATTTTTTATTTTCATATGCGTCTGTGAAGTAGATAATGGGCAGCATATCAACCGTAGAGCCTTCAACTTTTCTTGTTTCGATTGTTGCTCCAATTGCTTCATTGATTTCATTGACCTCTTTCTAAACTTTATAAATACATTTTTACCAAAAAAATAACTTTATAAATACAGAAAAACGTAATTTAACAAAAAAAACTTTATGATATATACACAAACTGAACTGTACATTTTCTCACAAAAACTTGATTCTCTTACCTGTGGGCCATGAATGTCAGTCATCCCAGAGTCAATTATTGCGGTGCTTTGCTGAGTATCATACCCAAACGGTAACTGTTCCTGTCTAAGCTAAAGATGGAAAGGCCAGTCCTAGGACGCCATCGTGCACCACATCTCTCAGCTCAGCATCAGGGTTAGTCCCCAATACGAAGTCTTGTCGCTCAAGATGGATTCCAGCAACCTTGATATTATCTCGAGCAAGAGTGCCTTTTAGGCTTCCCTTTATCTATCGGATTGATAATTTTTTCTTCCATAAAATGAGCTAGTTATAAAGAAGTCTAAAAATTTCTTTTAAAAAAACAGAAAAAAATTAAAGAAGAATAAACCCAATAAACACTTTGGAGTCAAATATAAGGTGAGGATGGGCCAAGTTCTTAGGCCACGTCGAATAGAGAGTCCACGGGTTCGAGCTTCCCGCGTCAAACACAACTCTAATATTTTGAGGTGGATCGCTAACAATAATATTAGAGTTGTGTTTGATACAGGAAGCGCTAATCTGTGGATTCTCTCTTCGACATGGCCTAACAACTTGGTCCATCCGCACCTTACTTTTGAGATTTGTAAGCCACTACAGTATCACAACTGACACAAAACGTTTGCATTTTTGTGGGATGACTCATGATGGAAATACTGAAAATAAGTAAATAAAAAATGGGAAACAATATGTATTGATAGGAAGCAGTAAACACTATTTATAACCTAAAATATTTAAAAAGTGGATGAACCGTCTTCTGTCATTCTTTGTTTAAGATAAAAAGAATGTTAGGAGCAAAAGTAGATATATCACTCTTTTTACATGACTTCAAAGAAGATGTCATTCTTTTTTTGGGGGTCGAAAGTAGATGTCATTCTAAAAAGTAGATGTCCTTCTTTTAACGTGTGATCTCAAAATTCAATTGACATGACCTTCTCATCCTAACAATCTTTTTAAAAAAAGTTTGCATTACCTTATCGTTTGTTAAATTTGTGAATCGTAAGATTGGAAGTGTGCTTGGGTAACCGAAACTCAACATCTTTTATATAAGTTACATAAAATGGGGATCATATAGATTAGTTTAGTTTACCATTTGTCCTTTAAATGGTCAGATTGTTTCCAAGGGTCATTTAAGCGAGCACGAGGTCTTGTCAAATAGATCATCGCAACTGAATAGAAAGCAGTAATGAATCTTGAAGTTTGAAGAAAATAATACCAAATGTTCAATACAAAAAGAAAAAGATTAAGTGCCTATATATATTTAAAAAGGAAAAAAACAATGAAGAGAGAACCAAATAGATAGGATGATTCATTCCCGCTTGAAACTTGGTAAGAACCAACGACAATAACGAGCATTAGAGAATAGATCGGACGAAGAAACAAGTTGTTGTGGTTGTTCAATCTTCTTTGTATCGAGATTGAATATGAAGAGTTCATCACGTTGGTCACTGAAGTATATGGAGTTACTAGTGATTCCTTCCAGGTCCTTAGCACTGTGACACCCAAATCTAAAACAATCGCCTCATCTCCCAAAGAAACAATCTCCTCCCAGTTGTTCCCGTTGGATGAATCCATCTTGTAGATTCTAAAACGCCATGTTTCTTGCGGACGTCTTTTGCTCCTGACAATCAACACATCTCCTCGTACAGTGACCACCACACTATTCTTCCTGCGAACCACTTTGTCCTCCATTCCCCAAGGCATGCGGTGTCTCATGATGCCTAAATCTTTTTCTCTTTTCACGTAACCATGCACGCTAATTTTCGAGACTTGCAGCGGAATATCTCCAGAGAAATCGAAAATATGGAGATCATCATAGTTGAGACAATAAAGCTTGTGATCTTTGTATACCATGTGAAAACACATGTAGATACTTGAGAATGACAACTGTGGGATTTGTTTCCACGAGTCATCTCCTTTCTTCAAACAGACCAGAGCTTCATCACCAACCAGACCTATAACTATGTAATCTTTAGTTTTCTCGTCTACCCATAATATTGGAGACCAGAGTCTTCTCACTGGAAGGAGATATATTAATCTGTCCGATTCAATTTCAATTCCCGGTAGATTTATCCTCTCTCGGGTTAAAACATCTAAAATATAAAAACGTCTTTCTCTGCCTCCATTAGGAGGTTCCATCAAAAGCCAGCTTCTACAAGTCGCCACGCAAGTACGATCTTCCAAGCCGTCGTCGTCCAGAGGTTGAGTTTTGTAGAGCTCTTCTTTATCTTCGGGATTGAACAAGAGACAGTAGTTCTTGTGCCAGGTGAATATAATCATCCAAGGGATCTGATTCTTTGGCTGAGATTGTCTCGAACCGGATTGCCAAGATGAGCAAACCGATTTAGCTCGTTCGAAATCGGTAAAGCCAAGCCGTTCAAAAACCATCTGCATGAGATCTAGAGGAAGGTTGGACCAGCAATGAGGATTTCTTCGAGTGCCGGAGACGGCTGGAAATTTCCGAGGAGGAGATTGGGCTAAGGCTGACGCTGTGGAGGCCATCTGACGGAATCTTAACGGCCAAGACTTCAATTGTGGGAGATAATATTAGGCTTCAACTGGTGACCAAGGGAATGGAGGGGAGGGGAATAATGAATTCTTTTTCATTCTTTAAAATTTTTACCATTTGCTAGTAATAATATTTCCCTATCATTCTTTCTTATTCCTTATCATATAAAGAATTATAGAACAAATGTATTCCTTATTAAAATTGGGGAGGAACAAAATATATTTATTTACTTTCTTATTTATTTTTCATTCCTATTCATTTCTTTTCTTTTGTTCCTCTCATTATTTTCCTTTTCATTCCTATTCTTTTTTTATTGGTCACCAGTTAAAGCCTTAGTTTTTTTTTGTTTTTACTCTCTCCCTCAGTTTTTTTATAAAGATATAGATAATTTACCGCATCAATCATAACTTTTATATAAAAAGTTGTTGTTATCACAATAATTTTTATTTCTTTATTTGATATTATAGTAAAACTTATTTAAATTAATATTTGCTAAATTAGTATTTTAATAAAATCAATAAACCTTTTCAGTCTCAAATTTAAATTATTAACCAAATAATATTTTTTTGGTAAATTGATAAAATTTTATAAAATTACATAATTTTAACATTATTAATTTATAGAATTACTGTAATATATTTGGAGAACATAAATTCTATGCATGTCTCTACAACATATATATGTATAGTAGATTTTTGATTTCATATATATATTTACTAAAATAAACTTATTTTCATGAACCCAAAAACTATAAATTTGTAGTTGTAGAAAAAAGTTAAAGTTTATAATTTTGCAGGAGAAAAATAATGTGTTGGTACAATTGAAGGTATTGGTGCCAATATTTTGGTGATGCAGAGTTAATATATCATAAGTTTCTCAGTTAACGCACCAACAGTTGGATAGTAATATAATATGGAAAAACACTAAATCAAAGATTTTTATTATGTAGATTTACTATAAGAATCTGGTCTTAATCATTTTACAAAATCAAAAGATTCTCATTCAAGTCTAAAGAGAAATTGGTGTTAAAAAGACTTTTATTTGATTTAGCTTATTTTTCACTTTTTGTTTAAATATAAATAATTTCATTTAAATGTAATTTGTTGTAAAGATTCTTTGTAAAAATTATAAAAGCTCATTGTTCTCATTGTAAGTTTGTAACAAGATATAGAAATTTTAAGAAAATAAAAGAGAGTTTTCTCTAAAAAACTTAGGCTTTGTTACTTTGTTCATTAGAGATTGTGTGGAATCACTTCTCTTATGTTCTCGCGAGTTCTCGAGTGTTTTGTGGAATCAGACATTTGAGTTTTCGTGTTGTTTCTTACTGTTCATGTGAGGATGAGCCCTTGGAAGTTAGAAGCATAAATTGTTACCTATGGAATTAGTGAACCCATCTATCCATTCCATCCACCGATCCTTCCCGAAAGAGACTTGAGTCCCTTTGGATGAATCCATCTTGTAGATTCTAAAACGCCATGTTCGTCGCCGCGGACGTCTTTTGCTCCGAACAATCAAGACATCTCCTCCTACAGTGACCACCACATTATTCTTCCTGCGAACCACATTCATTCCCCAATTTCTGCAGGAAATGATGCCAAACCATTTTTCTCTTTTCACGTAACCATGCACGCTAATTCTCGAGACTTGCAGCGGAATACCTCCAGAGAAATCGAAGATATGGAGATCATCATAGTTGAGACAATAAAGCTTGTGATCTTTGTATACCATGTGAAAACACGTGTAGATACATGAGAATGGCAACTGTGGGATCTGTTTCCACGAGTCATCTCCTTTCTTGAAACAAACCAGAGCTTCATCATCGACCAGTCTTATAACTAGGTAATCTTTGGTTTTCTCGTCTATCCATAATATCGGAGACCGGAGACTTCTCACTGGAAGGAAATATATTAATCTGTCCGATTCAATAACAACGCCCGGTAGATTTATCCTCTCGCGGGTTACAACATCTATAATATAAAAACGTCTTTCCCTGCCTCTAAAAGGAGGTTCCATCAAAAGCCAGCTTCTACAAGTCGCCACGCAAGTACGATCTTTTAAATCGACGCCGAGAGGTTGAGTTTTGTAGATTTTTTCTTTGTTTTCGGGATTGAACAAGAGACAGTACTTCTTGTGCCAGGGGAATATAATCATCCAAGGGATCTGATTGTTCGGATGAGATTGTCTCGAACCGAATTGCCAAGATGAGCAACCGATTTAGCTCGTTCGAAATCGGTAAAGCCAAGCCGTCAAAAACCATCTGCATGAGATCTAGAGGAAGGTTGGACCAGCAATGAGGATTTCTTCGAGTGCCGGAGACGGCGGGAAATTTCCTCTTGTATAAAAAAAAAATTTGAATATGACAATAATCATTTATTTATTTATCTACTACAAATATATTTAGAAAACATATATTTGATGCATGTATCCATAAGGTATGTTGATGCATGTCCACAATATATTAAAATAAACAAATTCTAAAATTTGATGCATATCTATAATATATTAAAATATTCAAATTTTCACGAACACAAAAATCATAATTTTTGAGATAAAAAAAAAAAAGTAAAAGTGTATAATTTGAGAAGAAAAAGAACGTACCATTTTCATTATTTCTGAGATCATCTAATTATAAAAATAAATAGATAAGCTGAAACAGATTTGCTAATTATAGTTTAAGGAGAAAAAAAACAAAAATTAGTATGCATCCTTATATCCAGGTAACAATAAATGGGTTTGTACAATAGACGAAAATGAATATGTAAATAGACTAATTAGAAGAGCTTGCTTGCGTATTCATCAATGGCTAATCCTTGTAACCGACACAAACTGGATCTTCTAGCTAGATCTCTCAGATCAGACAAGCTTCTCCCGAGTTTCAACGCTACTTTGGTCTCAAAAACTTGCCCGTTCTCTCTTCTCTCTGTTTCGATCGTTTCTTCTAAGAGAGAGAAGAATCCGGCGGAGTTTCTATACATCTCAAACACCATCCCGACTTGACCACCGTGCTCTAACGTGTTCACTACGGCAGCCAAGGAAGCGCAAGTCGTTGCCACTACTCCTGCTAAACCGGAACCGTGGCCAATAAAACCGGAACTTACAGCAGCAATTCCGGTTAACACCGGCCCAGAGATTGCTAAAGCCCTGTTTAACTTCAACGCCACGTTACCTAATTTCTCGTATTCCTCTGCATCTCTACTCTTTATAACTTCAACCACCTCTTTCATCTCCAGCTCTAGCTCCTTGTTCCACCCGTTAACCGAAGTTTTCGAACGGGTTTCGGGTTTAGTTTCGGGCCACCAAGTCGCTGGCTTGAATTCTTGTGGGAACTTCTCCAGCATTGTGCCGATGAGAGGAAGTGGGTAAGCTCTGTCTAAACAGAGCACTCTCTCTATCGCATCCTTCACGTGTTCTTCGCTGATTCCCTCTTCGCTTTTCTCGTTCAGAACCATATCGATTCTGTTTCTCAGCTGCTTGAACAGCCTCGTCGCGTTCCTCTGCTCCTCCACAAGCTGCGACGGCTGAATCTTGTTCATCAAGGCAGCCACACCCGTTGCAGACGCCAGCAACACCGTAGAAGCTATCTTCACCGCTGAAGCAGAATCTCCTCCAACGGCGTTCATGGAGGCTATTCCGGCCATCAAAGCAGCGGTGAGAGTGATCATGTTGACGGAATTGAGCAAGAGAGAGTTCCAGTTGTTGCGTTGATCTCCGATGTTCTTATGCACTTCGACTCTGTCTATTACTTCTTCAAGAACCGCAATGAGCCGCGACCTCTGCAAAACCCGATCATCGCACCCTCTCTTCTTCTGTCTTTGTCTCTCTAGCTGCGACAGATCTAAACTTTCGGTGAACCCATCCAACCCAAAAGTTGGTTCTTGAACTCTTAAATTCTGGTTCTTGATTGGTATATTCGGTACAGAGACATTGAATTTGGGCAGTTTAGGGATTGATATTGCGGATCTTGTTCTTGTGCAACAAGAAGAAGAAGAAGAAGTAGGACGCAGAAACCTTGAAGCCTGCAATGATGCCATATGTTATATATGGAGATAACAGGGTGGGGATTATCTTCTTCTTCTTTACTCGGTTTAAACCGGTTTAGCTGCTGGCTTGCTGAGGATGTTTCTTCTCTGGACTGTATTGTATTTTTCTCTTTGGTAGCTCTTGTTCTGTTTTGTTGCTAAAGGAGGAGAGATCTACATATATATATAGTTTGTGAAATCTACAAGCAACAAAGAAGAAAAAAAAAATGTTTGACCAAGAGGAAAAATTTGACCAAGGACCAGTTCGTAGTTGATGGATTCTCATGTGGCGATTTTTGGTCCAACCATAAGAATAAAATCCCAAAATGATACTTCACTTGTTGGCCTCCTTAGAACGAGTCTATTTGCCTCAACAAGTTTCAATATTAAATACTTTAATATTCAATAATTTGAATATCTACACCAACTAAACATTTTTTCATGAGTTTGGGTAGTTTTCAATTGATAGAAGAACCACTAAAATGCCTAGGTCAAAATCTACTAGTCTGCTTTACCGAACAAAATCGTGGGGCCCGAACATTTGTATTTTCATCCACAACAAATGAGATCAAGCAATGAAATGAAACATGCCGCTGCCTTCAGAGTATTTCTCGCACGCCAATGAAACCTGATGTTCCCCATATACGATGAAGACCACACAAACCATTTTTAGAGTTGCTTCAGATTAAGTCTTAATTTGGGTTAATGTGAAACAAAAAAATTGAAACATTTATATAATAAGATTACCTAATAAACAAAGTTTCTATTAATATGCAATGCAGCTCTAAAAGAATAAAATTATTTTACATATGTAGTCCTCACACGGCAATCATTAAAACGACTAATTTATGTCATTATGTGGCTACTTGGTATTGGTAACAAGATCGGTAATCATTAAGAAAATGCATGTCTACGACTACGTACTTGGTTTCGTTGGTCATAAAATACTACAAGATTAGATTTGTCAGTTTTATTTTTTGTGGCATTAGTTGCAACAGAAATATTAGAAATATTATTATTTTATTTTCTCTTAAAATTAAAATAACGTACTGTATATTTTTATTGTTCGGGAAAATGAATCCATCATACATGATTTTATCGATGAAATTTTGTAAAATAAGAAAACTAAAAATCAAAAATTTGAAAACAAAAATCCTTATTAATTGGAGTTGGCAAATGAGATTTTTATACGGCTCCATACTCCTTAAGGAGAAGTTTTATCATCTCCTGTGATATTGGTTTGATAAGTGGTACCACCACCACTTCCTCCTCCGATGCCAATACCAAAGCCAATGCCCATTCCAAAACCCACTCCTACTCCTCCGCCTCCTCCATTTCCTGTGCCGGTTCCTCCTCCCATTCCATATCCTTCTCCTCTTCCGCTTCTACTTCCTCCACCACTACCCCCACCGCCGCCACCACCACCTCCTCCACCTCCACTACCACCTCCACTACCACTGCCATAACCATATCCACTGCCGGAACCAGCACCTCCTCCTCCCCCTCCACTACCACCACCACCACCTCCTCCACCGCCTCCTCCACCGTTTCCAAAGCCAATTCCAACACCAAAGCCACTACCATGGCCATACCCTCCACCGGATTTACTGTCACCTCCTCCACCGCCACCACCTCCTCCACCGCCACCACCACTTCCACCTGTTGTTCCACCAACTCCAGCACCAGCACCGGATCCGCTTCCATGACCCGATCCTCCATTGGCACCACCACCTCCTCCGCTACCCCCTCCTTCACCTCCTCCTGCACCTCCTCCTACTCCAGCCATTGCTCCACCAACTCCACCACCAGCACCGGATCCACTTCCATGACCTGAACCTCCATTGGCACCACCTCCTTCTCCACCACCGCCTCCTCCACCTCCTCCTGCTCCACCAACTGCTCCACCAACTCCAGCACCAGCACCGGCTCCACTTCCATGACCCGATCCTCCATTGGCACCACCCCCTTCTCCACCACCACCTCCTCCACCTCCTCCTGCTCCACCCGCTGCTCCACCAATTCCAGCACCAACACCGGATCCACTTCCATGACCTGATCCTCCATTAGCACCACCACCTTCTCCTCCACCGCCTCCTCCTCCTCCTCCTGCTCCACCCGTTGGTCCACCAACTCCAGCTCCAGCACCGGAACCGCTTCCATGACCTGATCCTCCATTGGCACCACCACCTTCTCCACTCCCACCTCCTCCACCACCTCCTGCTCCTGTTTTACCACCAACTCCAGCACCGGCTCCATACCCGCTTCCATGACCATAACCTCCATTGGCATTACCCCTACCACCACCTTCTCCGCCACCACCACCACCACCACCGCCAATACCACCATAACCATTCATGTCGGCTCCAGCTCCATATCTTTCTCCATGGCCATACCCTTGATCACCCGCTCCACCGCCGTACCTTTTGGCAGCTTTTCCGTAGAAACTACCACATCCACGCCAACTCTGGGAAGAACAATCATCGTCATTGTTGTTCTCCACGTTATCTCCATAACTCCCTCCAAACAATGCAAAAACAATGCATGAAAGAAGAAGAAGCACGTACACAAATCTTGAATAAGTAGCCATTGAAGTACGTATTGGTTTTTTATTTCCAAAGAACTAGAAAACAACTTTGGTTTGGTTCCATTTGTTCTTGCTTCTTCTCTCTATTTATAGTGCCAATAGGAGCGGAATATCGGTTATTTTGATATTTAAAAAAAAATAGATTAATTAGTTTAATAGTCAGACCAGTTGGTCCATATACATTTACACTTGCTGATATTCCAAGGAACGTGACCCTATATCAGGCACGAATTATTTTTATATAAAGATGTATTAGATTTTGGATCTGCCCAAGTTTTTTTTTATAAAATTTTTTTATGCCAAATCAAAAATTGGTTTATATTAAATTTTTAATCAAAAAAATTAGCTTATATTATTAAATCCAAAATTATGGTCCAAACATAAATTTTTTATTAGATTATATAAACTATTTTTACGTTATGGTTTTATGTTTTTAAAATTATTTAGGCTTGATTTTCTAAAAAAAAGATATTTTGATTAGCGAATTTCCAGTCAAATTTTGTAACAAATATTTTCAAAGTATTATATTTTATAATACAAGAGAGATTTTACTTGTTTGTAATTAAAGTTTCAATATTTACTTAGGTTTTGTTTATTTTTGCATCGAGATACTTATTTGGATGTAAATGTTCAAATATTATTTTATTAAATATCTGAATACAAAATCAATAATATCTCAAAATTTGAATATTTAAAATGCTAAAAAATAGAGTTTGGATGCAGCATTTGAATCTCAAAAATTAAAAGACCAAAATACATTTTTAATTTAAACCATAAAATCAAGTTTTTTTGTTGTCAAAACCATAAAATCAGACTTTTCGATCGAAATAAAAGGCCATATTTTCCCTCAAAATACTAAAATCACGTTGTTGTACCAAAATCGGGAATTCCTATAGAAACTGTAAAAATAGCATTTTCCATCAAACAATATTTTTTTGCCAAACTATAAAATTAGTAAAGTCATGTTGTTGTAACAAAATCATGTTGTTGTAACAAAATCATTC